TAATGCCTGCAAATAATAATGTCCATAAAATAATGTCAAACTTTGAAAGCATGTGTAGAGAAATGATTAAAATTTTATCTGTTAAAAGTCCATAATGTTTAAATACATGTTGAAGGGTGCATAGTTAGATGGGTTGAATCCCGCAGTACTATTTCAGAACTGATTACTCTCTATAAGAAAGATGGTTCCTAAACATGCCAGGTTTAATATTAGTAGTTAATAATTAATTATGTTATTAGACGTGACTTTTCAATATTCTAGGCAGCAGATATAAAACAAAACCCTGCCCCAACCATTTAACCCTCTGTGGGGCGCAACTGATCTCACAGATTGTTTTGAATCTCTGTTGATTTTTATACTGAATTTATGTAATAAACATACATTGTTTTTACTATGTGGCAAATTAAAATTTCACTCTGAATAAATAATAAGCATGCTTACATGTTATTTTCATTCATTTTCAATTTAAATAAATAAAATCATACACGCATTTAGTAGATGCATTGTGCCCAAACTTGTAACTTTTGCACTGCACCCAGCGGTTAAAAGCAAAACTTTACCTCTAATTCTTTTGGCAACACTTTGAGAAACATCCAAGAAGAAAGCTATATTTCAAACTCAAACAACTTTGCACCAAATACCACATAAATTTATTACTTTTTAAACACATGTGTATCTTCTAAAAATGTGTTATTTTCTAAACAAGGTAAAACAATAATTTAGCAATGGTGAAAAACAGTTAAGAGTTGCTTGTACAATATATAACTGGACACAGCATGGACACAACCACATAGTTGAATTAGATGATGGGTTAGTCTAGAGAACAGGGCCACTGTACGTGATACGTGATAAGGGGTTACAGAAATTAGACCTCACACAGTTGTGTCTCTGGGGAAGGTGTGGAATGGAAGGGCAAGTTGAAGATCAGAGAAGACATCATTGACTAGTCAATCATGCCAGACAAGCACATCTAGCCACCAAAGGGAGACCCTGAAGGGAAAGCCATGGAGAGGTCTGTGGGAAACAGTTACATCTGTGTAGCTACTGCCTCCGTGGGTCCCCAGCCCAGTATCTGGTGATGAACCAGGGCTAGTGATAGCCAACAGGGCTAGCCATCAGGAAGACAAGCTAACTGGTGGAGCAAGATGGCGAGGACAGGTTGGAACCCACCAGGTAGCTTTGTGTCCATTGGTCACCTCATCTGACAGAAAAAAAGACCTTTGGAGAAGGTCTTCTGCTTCACTTCAGCCATTTAAATCTCACTCTATTGCTCTTTGGGTCAATCTAACAGAAAAAAAAAATTTAGATCCCCAATTTAACCAAGCTGACACAGCAACAGCCACTACAGATGAATAGCACATAATTCAGATATACACAGAATTTTCATTAATTCATCAGCTTCACACAATATGGAAGAAAAGTGTGAATAAAGTTACATGAATTTGAAAATCCATATTTGTTCATGATAAGATATAGCCTCAAAAGAGCTCACCATACTTTCTCCATCATTCTGTAATTTTTCTAAAGTAAAAGAGCCTCAAATAGGAGTTGAAGTTATTGGATCTGCCCAGGAAATCAGTTTTGTTTTGGCCATAAACTGCTAAAGCTACCACGCTGATGCTAATGCATACATTACACAAATTAACATAAAAGGCCAAAGGACTAAATGAGATCAAAATTTATTTCACCATCTGATTCTGGATGAACCCATAGCTCACAGGGTTTCCTTTAGCATTCAAGTAAATCGAAAAGATTTTTTCATTTGGAACCTTATTTCTTCCCCCTAAATAACAGCATCTCTGCTAGTACACATAACAGTCCATGATGTGATCATGGAATTGCTTGGTAATCTGCAGCTCTGTCATCCTTGGAAGAGAAGGAATTAGAGGATTGCCTGGGTACCAATGTCTGCCAGCTCTTGCCACACACAAAGCCTGGAATTTGACGGTCAGTTACGTGTAATTCTTCAGGGTCCATCTGTTTAACTTCAAACTCCTGCCCTCTCTTGACTGTCCTCCAAAAGTTAGTACCTACTTTGAGATGCAAAGTCCTGCAGTAAAAAACCAAGAAGAGGAAATACTATGTCTCTCAGTTCATTTCTATGTATATTAAAAAGCAGCTTTCCTTGCCAAATTATGTAACAAAGAGATCAGGATTTTAGAAGATAAAACAAAAAGCCCTTGACAGCTCCAAGAGTTTCTTCTGACTGCCTCATACAACAGGATAGTGTTTCCGTTGTACGCCTCTTCCCATGCATTCCATTCCCCACCTTTAACTTTCTTACCAGAAAAACACAAACATACAAGATATTTCCAGTAATCTCCCAGACTGAAAAGAAATTTTCCCAGGATCTTATTTTTCCAATTCAATGCCATGAATGCAGCATAAACCACAGAGAGAAAGTTTAACAACTCTATTATTTTTTATGTCCTCTCTATAGTATGATCTGTGTCCTCTGTTTGCCTCATCTTTTGTTTGCTTTCTGCTGTTCTTATAGACACTTATAATTGACTTGCATCCAATTGCATTTTTAAAAAATTTTCTAACAAAGGTAAAGACAGATGTTCATATCTTATTAAGACACAGTTCCTAGAGAACAAGTGTGACCTAGGTAAGACCATGAAACATATAGGTAGAATGTTTTTCTAAGATTTCTATACTATGTCCAGTTTTCTACTCCATAGTATATACAGAAAATAGATTCATAGCCTTATGGAAGAGCATTCCATATTTTATACTATAAAAAGTCAGTATGGTTTTTTAAATTCTCACAATATGTATTAAATATCTAAATTTGAGGCCCTGTGCTAGATAATGATGACAGAAGGGAGAATAAAAGGGAAATAAGGCTAGAGTCAGTGATATCAAACAATGCATTATCACCGAAAATAGCCAAAACAATCTTGAGAAAGACCAAAGAAGTAGGAGGTCTCACATCTCCTGATTTCAAAACTTAACTATAAAACTACAGTAATTAAATCAGTACAGTGCTGGCACAAAGACAGACATATACACCAATGGAACAGAATTGGCAGCCCAGAAATAAACCCCTGCATGTACAGCCAAATAATTTTTAACAAGGGCTTAGATAACATTCAACGGGGAAACGACAGTCTTTTCAACAAATGGCACTTGAAAAACTGAACAGCCACGTGCCAAAATCATGAAACTGATCTCTTAACTAACACAATATACAAAAACTAACTCAATATGAAACAAAGACATAAATGTAAGAGCTAAAATTATAAATTCTTAGAAGAAAACACAGGGGTAATCTTCATGACATTTACTTTGGCAATGATTTCTTGGCTATGATACCAAAAGCACAGGCAACAAAGCTTTAAAAAATAGATAAAGTAGACCATATAAAAATGAAAGAATTTTACACATCCGAGGACACTATCAACAAAGTGAAAAGGCAATCCATGAAATGGGAGAAAATGTTTGCAAATTATGTATCAGATAAGAGGTTAATATCCAGAATATAAAAAGAACGCCTACAACTCAACAACAAATTTTAATTTTAATGGGTAAAGGATTGGAATAGACATGTCTCCAAAAAGATACATAACTGGCCAATCTGTACACATTGTACACAAATGGTCTCCTTCCTACAGATACAACTTTTTGATTAAAAATATAATTTACCAACAAGTTTGAAAATGTCAATGAAACAGATTAAGTTGGAGAAACTGGAAACCTATATTGTTGTAGGAATGCAAAGCAGTGCTATGAGATGTCACCTCACACCAGTTAGGATGGCTATTACCTAAATAGAAGAGTTTTTTGGAAGGAAAAATACAAACAGCTTTGTATGAGCCTATCTGGATATGTCACACATTGCTCCTGGTATACAGCAATTTCTGTCAAATAAAAACATTATGGTGTGTCCTCATCCACCTTATTCACCAGATCTGGCATCATGCGACATCTGGCTCTACCCCAAAGTCAAAATGATTTAGGACATTGAGGCAGCCACAACAGCGCAACTAAAGACACTCACAGAAGAGGACTTCCAGAACTGCTTCAGAAAGTGTTTGAAGTGAGGGGGGGTTTTTGAGGGGAATCCATGAAATGTGTCTTTTACTGTAATAATTTGTTTTAATTTAAACATCGACTGTATTGTTTGATCACATCTCGTACAACCTACCAAGACTGAATCAGGAAGAAATAGAAAATCTGAACAGACTGGTTACTAGTAAAGAGATAGAATCGGTGATCAAAAACCTCCCAACAAAGAAGAGTCCAGGACCAGATGGCTTCACTGGGAAATTCTACCAAACATTTAAAGAACAATTAATGACATTCCTTCTCAAACTTTTCCAAAAAATAGAAGAGAAGAGCACAATTACAAAGTCATTTTACAAGTCCAGCATTACCCTGATACCAAAATCAAACAAGGACACTACAAGAAAAGAAAGTTACAAGCCAATATTCATAATAGCCAAGGTATGGAAACCACCTAAGTACACATGAATTGGTAAAGTAAATGTGACACACACACACACACACACACGCGCGCGCGTGCGCGCACACACATACACACACACACACACACACATTCATCAAAGTTATATCAAAACCCCAAAATGATGCTATAAACAAGAATGACGCATCTAAAACACAGAACACAGATAATTATTTTTGTGACCAACCCAATATACACCTTGGACACCAAGTCTCTAATGGGCTTCTCTGGGGAAAAACATCGCACACATGTTGCTGCATTTTCATCGCTGGGGGGAAGATAGTCTTTGAGTTATCCTTCAGAGGAGGGCGAGAGTATAAGAAAGGCTGCACATGGATTCCTCCAGACTCTTCCTGGATCTCTTCCTCATATGATCCAGCTGTGCATCCTCACTACTTCACCATAATCAATTTTAACCACAAGAATAAATATATGCTGAGTCCCATGAGTTCTTCTAGCAAATCTCCAAATACAGGGGTGGTCCTGGGAACCCCTAACACAGCAACTTTTTCAAATAACCCAGAATTCTTACCCGCTGATATGCTTCATAGATCACATCAAATAGAAAAGCCTGTGGCATTTCACTTGCTCTGTGTCTGGCACGTTCTAGCGAATGGTCTAAACAACCATCAGCAGATGGACTGATGACAGTAGATACAAGAGGTCGAATTGCTCCTGCTGCCTAAATAACAAACAAACAAAAAGAGGGAAATGACACATTTATTTCACCTACAGAATATTTTAAAGTGAACTTCTGAACTCTAGATCTCATTTTTGAAAGCAGATCTTATTCATACCTCAAGAAAGTATTTGAGCAAGTATAGATATGGTTCGTAAATCAAATCATTTCACATCAAAAACCAATCTCATATTATAGTGCTATGTACTAAGAAGTAAAAATGTTTTCTTCATTACAGGTTCAAAATCCTTTTTATCACAGGCTACTGAAGTCCAAGAACTAAAAAAAGGATGCAAAGATACAATTGGGTATTGCCTGAATATGGGACGGAGAAAGAGAGAAACTATGATGAAAGCACTGAGAATGGATTATACATGAATTACTAATTAGTGTGCCTTCCAAAGCTTTAATTTCCACAATAGATAATTAAAGGAAACAGACATATTCCCTAAGATACCCAAAATAAGACTCAATAACAACCCGAGTAACAATGAATTTATGTCTTGCTTTAATTCCTGTGAAAAACAGTTCCCTTCAAACAAAGCCTTAGTACAATGCTCTCTCAGGCAAAATATCCATTTAAATCAATTGTTCTGATGAAAGCTCTGTCTCATTAATTGATGCATCTAAACTTTATCTTTAATACGGTCTCATTGTAATATAGTCTTAAAGGTCATTACCAGACAGCTACCTTGGTGAAGTAGCCTTAAAATACAGTTCCTATGGTAGGCAATTAACCAAACCTCCTAACATGGATGTCCTATCTTTCACATAATTATCACATGAGGATTACAACACATGAAACCAATGCAGAAATACAAGAAATTTGGTCTTAAAATCAATATCTGAGCAAGCTAATCAATCCATGAACTAGTTTACAAAAGCCAAGTGATTGGCTAAAAATCAAAGCTAATGTATGAACCAAGTAGCCAGTTTACAAACTGTGTCACCATTCCCATTGACTCAAGTAAAAATGTGGAGCCTCAGCACAAAAAGCAAAAGGGACAGAGGTTGACAGGGGTAGAATGATGTCCAAGTAGGTGAAACATAGGTAGAACAAGCCCAACTGGTGAAGCCCAACACCTATCAGCAGGGATTAGAAGACAAGACAGGAAAGAAACACACGGGCACATGAGTATACACACGCAGTGTTTTTTAAGAAAAAAACTTACATTTACATCACAACGACTTATATGCAATTTTATGCCAGTGAAAATTATGAAGTAAAAATTTATAAGAGAACATGAGACATATAAAATGTCAGCATAAGGAGCTCTGCAGATTCTCTCCCCACAAAACAACTACAACTAGTGGAAAGTATTTTTTAAAAACACCCATTTAAAAGCTTTTGAAATTTGTCCTAAGGGCATTCAGCAAATTAAGAAACACTTATTCAAGAAAATCTACTAAATCTTGATAAGAACAAAGAAAGCCTGTGGTACTTGAGTTATGATGTTTCTTCCCTCAATCCACACCCAGTTTAGTGTGATTGAAGTTCCTCTCAGAATAACTATGTCAAAAGAGGCGGGGGGGGGCCTCGAAAAGGGGCAGGGGGGGGTCCTCCCTCTCACCCTAGCTCCCAGTGGGAGAAGCAAAATGCTAACATTTTCCATCTCACCCAGCTCCATGTCACAGAGGCTAAATTACAGGCAACTGTGCCTAAGAGGTTGGAGACTCCTTTCCTCCATCTATAGGGTGAGGATCTGCCCCAAGGAATGGCAGGCAGAAAATACTGGGACCAAATCACCTTTGCCCCAGATCACACATAGTGCACAGGTTTTACACCAGGTGGGGGGAAAAGGGAAGATAAGAGTCTCCTAATCCCCCCATGCAGTGCCCTGCTCATGAAGGAGGGGCGTCACTCTGAAAGAAACAAGACAGCATGGTCACCCACAGCTCCAAAGGAGCGGTGCAGAGATTTTTCACAAGGCCAGCGACAGGCTCGATGAACAGAGAGCTGTAAAGCTCTCCCCAGGGAATTCACTTTATTTGGAAGAGTGTAAGTGTAAGCCTAAGTGCACTCTTAAAAGAAAAGATATGATCATGGTAAGAAAATAAGAGGACGCTGGTAACTACATGAAATGAAAAATGCTAAACTGTAAACCCACTAGTTTACCAGAGACAAGGAGGAAAAGAGATAGCTAACAAGAGCACCCCTGGAAGCAGAGCAAACCTCAAATACTGACCTCAAACACTACCCCTGCAAAGGGGCCAGGACTTATTTGGATCCGACTGTAGAGCAATATATGCCCTGATGTTGTTGCTCCCCACCAATATCCAAAGAAGAGTAATTCAGGCATAAAATGGGGCTTATCAGTTGGGTGTGATATTAACAGAGGCAGACAGTATAACAGAGGTCAAAGAAAGATAATCAAAGAGAGCCCTGCTAAAACCACTGTCATCCCAACACATGCCCAACACTGTGCCCTCTGAGAAGTGACATTGAAGGCTTCACCCTGTAGAGGAAAAGACTTCACTAAAATAGACCCGCAAAGTCGCAAACAATTAAGCAAACAATAACAAGTCCTGGGACGTGGAAAAGAGAGAATCAGTATCTGAAATTGACAAGATACATTATCTAAAATACCGAGTTTATCAAAAAATTGAGACGCAATTAACCAAACGTGTAAACTATACAAAAGTTAAAAAAAATAAAATTAAAAAAAAGCAAGCAACAGAAACTGGCTGTGAGAAAGCCCGGATGTCACATTTAGATAAAGACTTCAAATCAACTATTATAAATATGTTCTAAGAACTAAAGAAAATCATCATTTAGGAAGTAAAAGTATGATGAAACTATTATTAATATTAAGACAGATATTTTTAAAAACTAAATAGAGTTTCTAGAGTTCAAATTTATAATAACGAAAATGAATAAATTTCCCACAAAGAAAAGCCCAGGCCCAGAAGCTTCATAGATAATCATATTTACCCATGTATAAGACACACCTTAATTTGGTGGCCTGAAATTTGAAAAAAAAAATGTATTACATAAAGTTATTGAACTCAAGTTTTATTCGTCATAAAACTCATACAACTCCTCATCACTGTCAAAACTCCCAACCATTAGCTTGTCCTCATCTGTGTGATGACGAATCACTGTCTTCATATATTGCGTCTCATGGCCTTCTTCTGCCGTGGCGTTTTCAGTAGGGTTTCTTCTTCCTGTAGCCAGTCTCAGATTGTTTTCTCAGTTGGAGGAGGACCAAACTTATGTTCAGCAGCACGATTTCCATTCACTTTTTCAAACTGGATCACTTTTAACTTGAATTCAGCACTGCACAAAAATCTTTTCTGAGTCATTTCTGGGCAGAACGTGGCAAAACGTAACCTACCGTGATATACCAGTAACAAGTGCAAAACAATGATCGCAAAGACAACAAGTGTAAAAAAGTGGGAAATGCAAGTAAAAATATCTACAACCACTGTATAAGTCGCACCCAGTTTTTAGACCCCCAATTTTTCGTAAAAGGGTGCATCTTATACATGGGAAAATATGGTAATTATATAAAAAATGTGGGGTTTTTTCCAAATACCAATTCCTCACACTATTCCAAAAAATAGGAAAGAACACTTCCCAACTTATATTACAAGACTAGTATTACCCTAATACCAAAACCAGACAAAGACATAACAAAAAAATAAAACTATAGACTAATATACCTGATGAATACAGATGCAAAAATTTTCAGCAAAATACTAACAAACCACATATGGCAACATATAAAAAGTTTTATGCACCATAACCAAGTGGAAGTATCCCAGGAATGCCAAGGGGGTTCAACATGACAAAATCAATTTAATACACCAACTTCACAGAATAAAGGACAAAACACATGAACATCTCAATAGATGCAGAAAAAGCATTTGACAAAATCCAACAAGCCTTCATGAAAAAAAGCACACAATAAATTAGGAACAGAAGAGAGCTTGCTCAACCTGATAAAGGATATCTATGAAAAACCCACATCATACATAATGGTGAAAATCTGAATGTTTTCTCTTTAACATGAAGCCATAAGAAGGATGTCCACTATCACCACTTGTACTTGAAGTTCTAGTCAGGGAACTTAGGCAAGAATATCTAATAAAAGGCATCCCCAAAATATAAAACTATATTTTCAGATGACAAGATCTTGTATGTAGAAAATCCTAATGAATCCACTATAAACTATTAGAGCTAACAAACAAGTTGAGCAAGAATGCAGAGGACAAGTTCAATATATAAAAATCAACTATATTGGGTTGTCGGAAGAGTCATGACGCATTTTGTCTATGTTTTTCAAAGGTCATTTATGTACATAAAGAACAAAGATTAATCAATGATATATTGCCCATTTTGTTTGATAAACTTTTGCCATCTTTCAGTGAGTTTCATAATTCCTCATTCATAGAAGGACCTGTCTTTATCTGCGAAAAAGTGAACAAGGTGCTGATTTACAACCTCATCTAAATTGAACGCTATACAACGCAAGGAGTTTTGAAGAGAGCGAGACAAGTGGAAGTCTGATGGTGCAAGGTCAGGTGAGTATGGTGGGTGTGGCAACACATCCCATTCAAGCTCCCATAATTTTTGATGGGTGATCAAACTTGTGTGTGGTCTTGCGCTGTCACGATGGAATACAACTCCTTTACAATTAACAAGCTCTGGATGTTTCTGGATGATGGATTCATTCAAACTGTCAAATTGCCAACAGTACACATTTGAATTGATTATTGGTTCCTTGGTAGGTGTTTGAAAAACACGACACCTTTAAAGTCCCACCACACTGAGAGCATAAACTTCCTCTGATGAATGTCTGCTTTCGATGTCATTTGAGGCGAATTATCACATCGGGACCAGGATGGTTTGTGCACCACATTGTTGTAAACAATCCACTTCTCATCACCAGTTATCAGTCGCTTCAAAAGAGGATCGTTTTCCTCACGTTTAATAAGCATATTGCAGATGTTTATATGTGCTGTCCAATGAACTTCTTTGAGTTCATGTGGAACCCCAATAT